TATCACTGTCGGAATCTGCAGTTTCAGTGGGAGGTCACCTTCTTTACGAGATCAATGTGATAGGCACATGCTTTCCACAAAAAGGGTTCCGTTCCCGCATTGCATGAGGTCACTATGAAGGGCCTGCCCTCTCTGCCTGGCCTGAGGTATGGTGACCATCCACTTAAACTCACCACCAACCACCTCTGTCTAACGAGAGAGCAGCCTGTGGGACTCTATATTTCCAATGTTTATAAGATGTTACCTAGGAGTCTAACAACAAACTCACTGTAATAAAACTTAGATGAATTTTGATTACCAGCACACAGTTTAATAAATACCTTAAATATTAAATTAATATGGTAATGATTAACAAATGTCAATAACAGCATCAAAATATCAAAGATTCAATCCATAAACCTTGATTTACTCTTGACAATATTGCCTCCTAAAAAGATTCAGGAAAAAGTGTAATAAGGTCATCACTCCAATTATTTCTTTTTATTCTATTTTAGCTGACTCCTGACTCAGGTTAATATTTAACAATTACGGGCCTCGTCGGCTACTTTTTCAGTGTCTATCACCTGCAGTCCTGTAAACTGGAGTCTGATCATTGTTCAGAATAACTCAGCAAACTGGCCTCAGTTTGGATTCGATCGTGGAGTGCAATTCCATCTGATAGTCGTAAAACATTTTACAACATTGTATCACTGAAACCATCATAAAAAAAACTTTTAAAAACTTGAAGGTTGCAGTTCCAGAAGCAGCATCTTCCCTCATAGAAACTGCACCATACCCTGCCATCACTGTCCACTCCATACTGACTGGGTTCACAAGTGATATCTCTTTATAAAGCCTTGTCTTGAGATTGACACCAACGCTTTAAAGGAAAAATATTGCTATGCAGCAAAATAACACAATGCAAGTGCACAATTTTGATAAATTGCCAGGGTGTGGCAGAGTGGAATTTTTTGACCTGAGTGATCTGCAATGTTGAGCTTAAATAAACATTTACAGATGTCGATGCCAGTTGAGTCCTGTTTCTAGGTAGATAAATGAGTAGAACCCTGTTTTCTTCTTTTGGAAGTGTAGTGCTGAGGTGAGTAATGAATCTAAGTGTTAGTGTGGTTAAAAACCTATATAAGCAGCAAATTTCTACAAACTACAACTTTTCACCAATTGCATGTATTTCCAATCACACTGATCCATGCCAAATCTAAATTTATAACATAATTTGAACTCTGAAACTGTATTACAATCTCACTCCTGACAATTGCAAAATAATGTTTTGAACAACAATTCATTTGAGAGAATTTTCCAGTAAAGTGCAAGAATTGGGATCAAAATTATTAATACTCTTATGTAAACATTGGTACTTTGTTGATTTCTAGTGTGTAGTGTGCATGTGGTTTACCAACTTTAAAGTGTTTGCAGTAAAGTACATGTTCCTACATGATGAATTCTGGGCAAAGAGATAGTTCATGTTCGTGCAGGAGTGGTGTGTTAGTGCCAGATGATCTCTTCCTGAATGAATGTCAGCATTGTCCACAACAATCATCTCTTCCTTATGCTGTCAGTGAGGACTCCAATTTGTTATGAGAAGAGAAAGCAGGTGACCCACCAGAAAGCACGGCAGAGGTGTGGGAAAACATTCTGTTTCTTTGCACTACCTTTAACGTTTCATATGTTGCCATATATCATTGGTTGTCATTGATGATTTTCTGGACTTTTTCTTTCCCCTTAAGACTTGTTCCTTGATTTATAAATCTCCCTTCCCAGAAGAGAGTGAGAGAAAAAAAGACAGATTTAAGCCATGTGTTTCCCACCGTGACCCAATCTGAACTTGTTGTCTTTAAGCAGATGAAAAGAAAGAAAGAATGAGGGTTTCTGCATAAATATGCATAGAGTAAATGGTGATGTTTCTGGGACCCAATGCAATATTGATTGGTGGGTTTGAGGGGGCATGATGTGATAGCCCTAGGCTCCACTCCCACCGCTGGAACTGGAACCACTGCTGACTGCCTCCAACTTTTCTCATTGTTTCCCTCCTGTCACCAATTCCCCATTTTCCCCCTGCTGGCCTTATAGCGAATCTGACTGGGCCCCATAAGAACTCCAAGAGTGTGCATGCACAAACATGGGCAATCTTGAAAATTGCGCTCAGATTCCTGACATCACTGTCTGCTGTGCGACTCAAGAGCCTCCTAACCTCCAACCCTGGGCTTCTGCCCACACGCTCTCTCCCTGCCCCCAATATATACACTGTTCATCGCAATGTTTAATATCAGGCCGAGAATTCCAATCAATCCATGCAAAGGAAATGCAAGTTTTAGACCCGAGTAAAGTAAGTGTCTTAAGACTCAGTCTGTCTACATCTAACATATTTCTGCAATTTGCAGTGTCCCATTTGGCAGACTGTGTATTGCCTTAGATCTTTTGTGAGGATGGAGATACATTTTATGGCAGCCTGCACAAACACGATATTTATTTATTTATTTATTTCTTCATTCCTTCATTCATTCATTCTGCCAAGATCTCTTTCTGTTGGCATTAGGTACAGAACTTTATGCTTCATTAACCAAAATGTTCAGGCTCTCAACATTATCCAAAGTCTGAAAGTGTCCACGTCTATTTGTTTTAACAATATATTTTCTCATAATATGAATATATTTAAATGGTCATAAACTCCTGAGAACAATCAAAGGATTCAAATGGAATACATTATTGACTAGGAGTAGTTAGTAGCTACAATTTATTTTGCACCAACCCACGATGGAAGTTCCATGAAAGTATCAAGAAGTAAAAACAAAGGTTGAAGAGGATGTTAGCTCAGGCTATCATTCAAGTCCAAATGCAGAATTAGCTCAAATCGCTGGCCTCTGTGCTTTTCTGTATCTCTGCACCATTCACACTGAGCTGTAGGCTGTAAGTCAGCCTGAGCCCTGGATGGGGGGTGGAGGGGGTGTCAGCCAAACCACAACAACATATTTCTGTTTGTGCTTCTCTTTATTGCTCCATCGATTTGACCTATAAACTTCCTGGTCCTTGACTTTTATGAACGTTTATCTTCAGCCAGCTTTCTTAAGTTTGGAGGCAGAAATTGTTGATATTGACAACTTGGGAAACATGCATTTAAACTTCATGTATGTAGCCCAGGAGCTCAAATGTTATGCAGACCATGTAAACAAACATTTTGGACTCTTTACCACTGATGACTGTAATCAGTACTTCAATTTACTAAACATGGCAAAAATATTCTGACAGGTCAATCTATTTCATACATATAAAATCTCAGATTTATTTCAAGCATTTTCAGGCAAATGACTTCTTTCCCTGTTCTGGTGTGAAGGAGTTGCTTGAATCCATTCCCTTAGTACCATTAACAATTCAAAGGCAATTTCTGTTTTGCTCTCATTTGAGTTTTATTTTCCTGAGGGGAATCTTTCCATTTCTGGTGTACATTTTGTTTTACACATTTCACCTTGAATATTAAGTCATTTTAAACAAGTTATTGCTGTCTCACCTTTAAATAAAACAGATGTCTGTTGTGGAGAAAATCTGTCAGTCTGCAAAGAGACGGTCCAAAAATATTATTCAGATAGAGAGTTATTCCATGAACCAAACAAAATCCATAAACGCCCAGTTAAAGTGTACATTTTGTATTAACATTCAGTTGGTCCAAAACAAAGTTTAACCTGTCCCCAGAGGACTGATAGGCTGCTTGCTTCATTGCTAAACTCCCTGGGGTTTTATCAGGTGCCTAATGAAAGTGGACTTTAACAAGCATTGAAATGGGGTGATCCAGGCTCCATTTCCAAAGATCAAGGGCAATCCAGTGTAATACAGATCTACTGGTGTTGTGCAAGAATCATAGAGTCCCTGGAAGCAGGCCGTTCAACCCATCAAGTCCATACTGACCCTCTGAAGGACATGGTCACTGAATATGTTGAGAAACATACATAACTCACCTTCCAATTATACATGAAGATTGAAGCATCCCCTGTATTAAATGCAGTAATATGTTAAAGCATATATGAAAAATTGGTTCAGAGTTCTGCTACATGCTAAACATATGGGGCACCTTTGGTTGAGATTTTTAATTTCTGCATCCCTCTGTAGTTTAATATTTGGCTTCTGAGACTACCATTCTCAGGCAGAGTGCGTTAAAATGAAAACAATATCTTTCACTGGGCACTGGAAGTATCTGTCAAAATCATTTTAACTATTTGTAACCTTCTGTGGAATGTTAGGATTCGGTGTGAATCTCAAAAAAAAAAAATTCTGATAATATTTCCACTAAGTGGGTATCAGCATTTACATATTTATTTTATTTAGCAATGTTACAGAAGAAACAAAGCTGGAGAAATTGGATGTTTTAGTTCACCGGAATGATTTCAAAAACAATATGTCAATTCAACAAGTATATCAGAAAGTCTGGTAAGTAACTGTCAGCATTTCATTCCAATGTCATATTATTGAATAAACATTCAAATTAACTCACACACTTCCAAAAATTGATTCTTGTTAATTGAATGCAATGTCGTTGATCAATGTGAAAAAAATCAGAATAAATGTATTTATTGCATTTGCTCAGAGTTTAAATAAAAACAGCAGTGTTACACAGGCATCAAATATTCCCTGGAGTTTGGAGTGGTGAAGAAAAAGTGGTAACTGGGCTTTTTATGCGTATGGCATAAAATAGCAACCCGTGTATCCATCACCTCAAGCAGTGCTTAGTGACAGGGAAGATCTGAGCAGAGTCTGGTGTATGTTTCAAAGATACTGCAACAATTTTACATATATAAATGTGGAATTAACTATTAGAAAATTGTTCTGATTTTTTTTTCCTTAAAGCAATTCACACACCATGTTGGTTCTTTATATTATTTATTCAAATCTTCACTGAGCAGAAGGAACAGATTTTCTCTTACACACATTAATTGTAAACACTTACCTGATTGGGTTGGATTGAGAAAAAAATTCAGAAGGGAGAATCATAGGTTTATAATAAAACCTGCAAATTTCTATCCACTTAATAGAAATTCAGGCTGGAAACGCCTTCAGAGGTGTGATTCAGCCCACACGTTCTTACTCAATGTATTGTATCTGACAGACAAATATGTATACATAAATTTGTGCAAACCTGTAGGAAATTCCAGCTTCCTACCCAACACACACACACACCGTCTCTCTCTGATCGAATGAAGACAGGAGCAATTTAATTTTCCATTAATTACTCATTCCTAATGCCGTTAAAATGACATCAGTTTCTTTCGTGACTCTGATAGCCTAGGAAGCCCATGAGTAAGGAAGCTGGTGCCACCGTGTGGTTTATTTTGCATCAGTCACCAGTTCTCATGTCTATATTTGATCTTTCAATTTTTAACCAGCCTGTTCAGAAATATTATGACACACCCCATGGAGCAGTGGAACTTGAACCCATAGTAAAGGACACTACCACTGCAACACAAAAGCCCCTCCATTCTGCTGGCACACTTTCTTCTAATAAGATAATTGACAGGATTGAGAGCAGTGTTCATTAACAAAATTCTTCTTGGCAATAGTGTCATGTCTTCAGATAAGAAGTGTCCTCTGAAATTTGGAGATCAAATCTTGGCAATCAACAAACTCCAGATCAATGGTGTAGAGGAAGTCAGCATGTTTGTCGACAAATTGATGGAAGACAAGGTACAACGCTTTCTATGTATGCTGAATGATACCTGCTGTTTAACCAATTGTGGAAAATAAAGTGCCACAGGAAAATTTCAATGGTCTAAATACAGATGATGGAATCAAATACTAGAATCACTGCAAGCAGGGGTCTCCCATTCTGATCCCATTGAATATGTGGTGGATACTCACTACTCAAAGCACAGCTGCAGCATTGGTTTTGGGGTGATGCAGTATGCAATACGAGGTTTCAGTCTGGCAATAGGGCACGAGAATTGTAACCTACCATAAGAGAAAAAAATCAATAGCCCCTTGGTCTATTTTCTATGGGGAACCATATGCAAAAGAAAATGCTCCAGTATGTCTTAGTTTTCAGAGGCTTCAGCTATTTCCTGGGCTAGGTCGCCAAGATGGTACATAAACACATTCACCAGGAAGGCCGTCAGTATACCTTGTGGCTAAAGGGACTCTCTGCACCAATCCTGCTCTCCCCCACTTCCTCTGTGTTACTAGGCTAAAAAGTGGCAGATATAGGTTCCACATTATAAAGCTGAGTGGAAACCCTAAAGTGAAGCTGGAGTCTGGCATATCTAAATTGCGGACTGTTTTCCAGACCTTCAATACAAGAGTTATTGCAGGATTACAATAAAGGATTCAAACAACATTTTGCCCCGTATACCTTTGTGTTGTGTTGCTGCCATTAACATGGTAGTTGCTTATATCATTTTGTTGTATAAATTAGTGATGAAAAATCTCAGATGCAATGTGGCAAGTTACTAATCTCAATCACACTGTTGTTGAGAGGCAACCAAGTAGTGTTGCACAGAAAGGCATGGCCTTGAAAAACCTTTTTACTGAAGGGCTCATGACTAATTATAGTTGCTGTGACCCATGGAATATAGGTGAACTTTACAAAGGGCAGAAAATATCTCCATTTTAATTCTTAAATAGTACCTTAGGAATAAATCAAAAGCATAAGTATCAACCAAAATTCAATAGCACTAATTAATACAAAGTTAGGATAGGTTGAGGGGCCTCTGCAGGTCATTAAAGAAAACCAGCACAGATGGGAAAAATCTTTGGCTTGTTCAAACTTCTTCCAGAATAATCTGCAGTTTCCCTTTCCTTTTTCGCAGCGTCCAACATCCTTTGTAAATGATTCCAAGGTTTTAGCCTCCATCATACTGCCTAGATATTCTTTGTAGTGTTAATTACATATCATTTGTTGAGTAGCAGAATTTTATTTTTATGTGAGTTAATTTCCCAAAAAAATCTCAATTTGGAAATACCTCTCGGTTATTTCTGAAGAGGTTTATTTCATTAATATTGGTATGACTGAGTTTGTCAGTGGCTTGAGAGAGTTTTATTCGTGCCACGCTATACGGTTGGGTTTTAAAATGTTGCATTTAGTCTTGACCCATTGAAAAGAGCGAATATTACAGCTTCAGTGGAACAAAGGTATTGACTGGGCACCCCAACCATCTGAATTGGGATGTTTCAGCTGTACAGTTCCATCTTGGCACACAATCTAAGAAAGAATACTGGTCAGCAATCTAAGGCATTAAAACCAAATGGGGCTACTTTAGGACGTATCAAATCAACAGGATGCTGTTAGAAACAGTGAATGTCTAAAGAAATTGGTGGGGTGGGTGCTGGAGTTGTGGAACAGGGATGGGTGGCATACCAAATACCAAAATACAATAGGGTGAGGTGATTATGAAGACAAATTTTATGTGTTTTGAACCAATTCAAATTGATAACTGCAAAAATTGCATGTTTCAAATTGCAGTGTACTTGTTCCCTAGTAACATGACAGTAATTTTGTAGAGTGTATTTCTGGAACTGTAATTTGACAAAAACAATTTTTCCCCAGATGATAGTTACCATATTGCGACTATCTGAAGCACCACAACTCGAGGAGCATCATTGTTGAAAAATGAAGAAAACTAATAAGACGTAAGTCACATTTACCTTATCAGTCAGCAACATCAATTTGTATACTTTGAACTTGTGTAAAATATGTCAAAGGCAAGTTATATTTTCTTCATTTATTACACAGGGTTGTAATTTGGATGATGTATAATCAAAGCACCAATGGTCATGGAATTGTCAACATTCAATATTGATCAAGTCAACTCATCCATCAGCAATTCATCTGTATTTGTTTTTATTTTCATTCTTTATAACCTTAATACTTCAACTTCACTCATGAGTGAAGTTGAAGAGATCTGGAAATCTTCACAATTCTCCACGTTGTGTGGTCAAAGGAAATAGGGATATAGTAAAGGTTCATCTTTTGAGCAATCTCAAGCATGCTGGCACTTCCCTTTTCATCGCCAAACAACTGCTAACATCAAATATGATATAGTCTTCATAACATTTATCAACCCTCAGTGATTTCTACTTATAACATGTCCTATTTGGCCAAGAAGGAATCCCAGTGCATTATGTGATTTATTAAAAGGCAGTTAATTAATTGAAAGACAAATTGTGAAGGTTTTGGTGAGCATTAAGCACATACGTACAAATCCATTGTCGAGTGCTTGGTGTGTATGGTGTTTTTTATTGTTTTTTGTGCTATTTATTTTCAAAGGACAAAATAGAAAATGTATTAATATTATTGCTGCTGCAAAAATTTGTCCATTTGAAAGGCAATTAACATCACTATTGGCATACACTTTATACATATCTTCCTGATACCATTGTTGCAAAATAATAATTCATTCTGGCCAGTTTAGATGCAATTAATTTTCACCACCTTACTATTTACATAAATATTAGTTGATACGTGTAACTTCTTTGGTTTTTATTCAAAATTAGTGAAGAATAGAGTTAGTACTTGAATATTGTGTTTGCTGCTTTATGCTGTAATTTTCATGCCACATTTAAATTGCTGTAACTTAAATTAGTTACAAGGCACACAGGTTAATATAGGCACTATTCTGCCTCTCTGACTGCTCAATAGCTAGAAGGGATTGTTTGATACTGACACTGAATCCAAGCAAAGTCAAATCTCCAGAACTGATATCCACATTTTGATCAGCATCAACGCTCCATCTGCACTTTCTTGAAGTTTATAAATTTAATAAGTCATAAAGCTTTTTCGGTTAACTAGTAAATCATCAGTTTTAAAATCTTTACATTTTTCTTTTTTTAACTGGAGCACATAATCCATCCTGACTCTTTGATAAAATATTAAGGAAGAACCGTATTGTTGAAGGTGACATTGTAGAGATGAGATGTTAACTCATCTATAATCTCGGGTGCACATTGAAAGGTGGCATGACAATATTTAAAGTCAATCAAGGTAGTTTTCTATATCCTGACCAATATTTCTTTCTTAACCAAAACTACTCAAATGGACTATTTGGTCATTTTATAATGTTTATGAGACTTTTATTTGCACAAATTGAGCACTGTGCTTCCCTAGAACTGTGACTGCATTTAAGGAGATAATCATTGATAGCAATCCGTTTAGGAATATTCTAAAACAATGCCACCTTTCATATTAAGTAAAATTCTTTACTTTCTATTATTAAAGGATAATTGTTCATTGCCATCGTACTTCTAAACATTCTCAAAGCACTAATTTAAAAGACTGGTAATGTTAGCCACACTTCAGAATTCTTCTAAGCAAGAAATGTTACTTGAAAATATGAAATATATATGACACCACAAGGCTATTGCATTAACGATCAAATTACAGTTGTTTTCTGCAAGTAACATTCCAGTAGCTCAGTTGGACTGAGTTGTAACTATTGTAACTTGTAAACAAGTATTGTAAATTGTATTCATGAATTCATGATATCATAAAAGATATGGGTTCAGAGTAAGCATTAAGGAAATGCTACCACTGTATTTTATATTAAGTGTCATTTATATTGAGAAAATATTAAAAAATGCATTTTTATTGAAGGAATTTCTTTTTGAAAATAAAAATGGTTTGACAAATATCTGAAAGCTGGTGTTATTTAAAGAATTCTAAAATCTAAGAATAGTGTGGTCATTCAAATGTAGTATCCAATGGGAATTAGCATCTGATATCACTCTGAACTGTTTAACCTAATGCTGATCACTGAAATGTGATTTCTAAGTTTATTTGAGGTATCTGAAATCCCCAGATTGTTGAAAATAATGAATGGAAAGGCAGGAAGTTTTTGAAATGATATGGGTTACATCATAAAATAGAATGTAACTCAAGTAAATACAATGTAAGAAACAAAATATGAGTACAATATAAGTAAATCGAAGACTATAATGTTTTCTTCTCTGCCCACTAAATTACAAGGTTTAACTCCACCTGACAGATAAAAATGTGGTGGTATCCAAATTAAAAATGAGTTAGTTGATTTATCATCTGATTTATGCTCCATAATCACTTTTCCTACAGCTTTTCTTTAATGGTCTAATACTTGCTAGAATCAGAGGACAGCCACATTAATCTTTAAGAATTAGGTTTTCATATCACGTCAATCATTTGAGCTGCTGGAACCTTAGGCTTTAATCTCCGCTCCCCAAGACAAAGCAACATACCACCCTACACCATTCCTCTCCCCACTACAGACTCCATTTCTCCCTTAATCCATCTTTCCTCTGGCTGAGTTAGTGTCCAAGCCTTTGATATTCAGACAACCCAAAGGCATCAAACGTCAATAGGACACCCATTCATTTGACTAGCTGTACATTAATGAACCAGGCATTCCACCGAAGGACTAATACAAATTTTTTTGCTTACTATCCTGGTAAAAATCTGTAGTTCATTTTTCACTCCCTTGCAATTGTTACTTATAAATTGTTCAATCAATTTGTGGTAGCTGTGCATGTGGATGCTGACAGACCAAGGCTCTGTGACATTAATGTATGATGATGTTCACAACTGGGTAACAGAGGTACCAAAAGAAAACCTAAATGATAAATATTCTCTGTTACGTTAGCAACCTATCAAGCAGAAACCTCTGTGTGGTAATACATTCACATGCAGTTCTCCATATCGCCAGCAGGTGCTGCAGTTATTACATGCTGCAAAATGTATTTCTCTTAACCAAAAAGTACTTACAATTTTTAAAAGCAAAACTTGTTTAAGAGTTCTTTTACAGCAATTAAAAATTGTTTCCCATTGCCTTCTGGAAAGTTGGGTTCAAAAGATATTCCTGTACAATTCCAAATGATCCTAAATTACCCAGAATGTGAGATAACACAGAGATAGCAGGAACTGCAGATGCTGGAGAATCTGAGATAACTACTATCTCTGACCAGAATGTATAATTTTCTGGGGCTCAGTCCCTCTCAAACTATTTGTGAATTCAATAATTATCTTGATTTTAATGTTTTGGGGCAATTTTCATTTCTTTCTGTTTATAAAATTATTTACACTCGGCAAAGACTTTAGTGTCAGCATTGCACTGTTTCAAAGATTATAGCAGCATCACTTCAATTGCTTTAAAGTACACGAAGATTAATATTTTAGTTTGTTTTGCTTTTTTGTCCTTCCTTCATATGGCTCATGTGTCTGGCATGAAAATTGAAAACTTGCTAGGTTCCCCGACTTTCCAATCCGAGAGAATGAGAATGCGGCACCAATTTGCTGCTTCATCAGTGAGCAGTGTGCTCAGTACAGACTAGGGATCAAATCTCACATGATTTAGCTTTTCCCCTCAATGTCTTAAACAGGTTAATCCATCACTTTTTTGCTGCCTTCCACTTCCAAAACAATTTTTTTAAAGTCAGCCACCTATTGGATTTCATTAATCCACCTTAAAAATATCGCGTTGGTACATTGGCAAATGTGTTCAGAAAATTCACACAGATTTTGTTTATTGTTCAGATATCATCTGCTAAGCCAATACAGTAGACTCCCATTTAAAAACTAGAATAGCAGATAAAGCTGGACATTTTTCAATTGTAATAAAAAAATGAGGCCCCAGGAAATGCAATCCCAATCTATAAAGCATATGGGTGGTAGTTTAACTTGAGGGTCACCATGCTTCAGGTGTGACCTGAGAAGAAGAACCCTTCATGGTAACCTCAGCTGGTGCAGGAATTAAGCCCACATGATCAGCATCACTCTGCATCATAAACCAGCTCTCCAGCCAACTGAGGTAACCAATGCCCCAAGGGAATGTAATCAGTCCTATAATGAAGGTGCTGTGTTGGAGCCACACTTAAAGGTAAGTACATGGTTCGCTATGACTATGCCACAGTAAGTTGGGTGAAGGGGATTTGAGAGCCAGAGTGGTGACACCTGAAGTGCAGGGAATGGAACACGCCCACTCAAAGATACTGTTCACGATGGTGGAGGAGAATTTTTTTTCCTTTATTTATTCATGGGATGAGGGCGTCGCTGGCTCGGCAGCATTTATTGTCCCTCCCTAATTGCCTAGAGGGCAGTTGAGAGTCAACCACATTGTTGTGGGTCTGGAGTCACATGTAGACCAGACCAGGTAAGGATGACAGTTTCCTTCTCTAAAGGACATTAGTGAACCAGATGGGTTTTTCCAACAATCAGCAATGGATTCATCATTAAACTCTTAATTTCAGATATTTATTGAATTCAAATTCCACCATCTGCCATAGCAGGATTCGAACCCGGGTCCCCAGAACATTATCTGGGTCTCTGCATTAACAGTCTAGTGATAATACCACTATGCCAAAGAAGACACAGGGAGCTGTTCTGAGGGTGGCATTGTTGGAAGAGATTCAAAGAAGGTAACTTTGGAGGAAGCATTGTCAAAGTAACTACCATTGAGTTTAATAATCGGATAATAAACTCTGACATTTTTTTGTTATTCTATGGCAACTGTTGGTGATATTACTGCTCAGCCATTTACATCTCTGCTAACCCAACCTTTTATTTCTTTAATAAAGACCGAAAGAACTGCGGATGCTGTAAATCAGGAACAAAATCAAAGTTGCTTGTAAAGCTCAGCAGGTCTGGCAGCATCTGTGAAGGAAAAAACAGAGTTAATGTTTCGGGTCCAGTGACCCTTCCTCAGAACGTCCAGTTCCAGAAACGTTAACTCTGTTTTTTTCTTCACAGATGCTGCCAGACCTGCTGAGCTTTTCCAGCAACTTTGTTTTTGTTCCTTTATTTCTTTACTTGCTGCAACACCACCCTAATTTCTGCAGCCCAATGATCACTTTTGGCATTTGATTGTCTGCCCTCCAACCTTTAACAGACATTTTAGAGATATAAATCCACTTTAGTTGATGGCAACAATGCTGCTTTATTTGCCTATTTGTGACGACATAAAGTGGATTAGAGTTACAGAGTCACGCAGCACAGAAACAGACCCTTCAGTCCAACAAATAATAAATAAATAAATGCATACATACATAGACAAATAAATAATATGAGGGGTTTTTCTGCCCAGTCGCTGAAAGATTTGAGAACCGCATGTGAGTGTGCAAAAGACATAAGATTCAATTGATATTTCGAGGGGAAGTTATTCTTCCATCATTTGAATTATATTCATTAGAAAGCTGGCTCAATAATAGGCCCAGTCTGAAGAGGGAATGATGGTCCTCCTGCCTGGTGGGGCAGTGAAGGAGAAAGCATTTTGACCAACGCTGGGAAAATCCCACCAGAGTCTGCGCTTCCACCCTAGGTGAATCCTTAATTTTCTTTAATTTATTTGGCTCCCTGACCTACTGCTTAAAGCCCAGCTCTGACAAAAATGCTCAGAGGTAGAGACAAAGTTGCAGAGTCAACTCAATGCATAGCTTTGAAAATTTGATTACTAAACATGCCTCCATAAAGCTGGGAAGATTCCACCTAATCTGATAACACGTGGTTAAGAAACTTCCGTTTTATAGCTGTTTTGCTCTGCTGTTGACCCAGAAATGGAAATGAAGCTTTTACTGGCTACACATCCTATTTGAAAGTGCTCAAATTATATAACAGTCCCACAGGAATAGTTGCTGTAATGGTTGGGAGCTTGCTCAAAAGTGCAATACAACTCAAGAATATTGAACTTCAAATCTTAAAAACGGCTGACAACACACTGCTAACCCATGATAGAAGAACCAATGATGTAGTATCTGTAATAGCATAATCTTCTGCAATAAGAAATAAGAAGAAATTTCAGTCAAAGTTTTCCAATTGGACGGTTCCAAAAATAAATAAATCAACACCTTCTCAATCAATCCCCCTTCATCAGTTTAAATCAAAGAAAAATCTCATCTATTCCCAAACATAATGGTTGATTCTGTAATTCACAACTGCCAACAGCATTGTGGTCTCACATGTATAAAGATGGACAGAAAATCACTGCCTGTCCGCCTACGATTGCATAAAAATTATAGGAAATACTAGGTCACCTCTACAGTTACATAAAAGAGTGAATTTCGATACACTGCTTCCACCTTTTTCTTCAGTAAAGTGAATAATTAGAAACTCTTGTTGATGCTAAGGAAGCTGTATTACACGGTAACCTTTTATCAGAATTCTTATGTTCAGTGAAGTTGTTATGATTCATTTTTAAACTTCTCCTCAATGTTTTTGCAAGAACACCATTCAAAAGCAATGTACTCACAATGCTGGATTTAATTGAAGCTGTGGTTTTTCCAAAATGGGTATTCTTGCAACAAAGCAAAATGATGTTTTTTTTTCCCTCTCATTTGTATGCTTTGACTTTTCGGCTATTAATGGTGCAAGAATAATCTTTTTGACCTTTCTCCAAATAACTGTGGGTTATTAAGAATATTAGCATAATTTTAAAAGAGTAAATTAGCAGTAAAGACGCTATCAGAATCCACCATATTTGAATAAAATCAACATGCAAGTCCTAAGATTTCCTCTTAGCTTCAGTTCAAGCAGTTTTTGTGCCAAGAATCACAAGATTGCATAAAAGCTTATCCTTGCTTGCAATAGACAGTATCAAACAAGTCTGGCTGCTGTTTTGAGGTCAACTG